TTTAAATATATTTGTAATTTGTGTGATTACTTTCTTGTGTTCAGTTACTGCTTATTCCTTCTGAATTTCTCCATGTCTTAAACACTTTGATTTCAATGTTTATAAATCTATTGCTTCCATGTGGCTGCAGCATTTTTCCCACCACTGACTTGTTGGTTTTGGTTCAGTAAATTGTTTGGGACTGAACTGATCTCTTTCCAACGTGATGCCCGCTAGTCAGAGCAGACATCATTTAGTAAGCACTTGAAGATGCTATTCTGGTCCTCCCAAAACAATTATTGTCAGATTAACTAGGAAAATATCTCTGGGCAGGATAATGTTTCCTTGTCTCAAGGTGTTGTCTACTGCATCTAAAGCTTGATGAAATGCCTGTTGCTCTGAAGTGCAATTTTAATGTAAAGTTAAATGTTTTCGGCTACATCTTCAGAAGGTCAAGTTGAGGATGTTACAGAATGTTATAGAGGCGGGGGGAAAAAGCCCTCTTGCAAACAAGCAGCAGAGTTCTTGCTACCCACAAATGAGCTTTTGTGGTTTGGTAGCTGTTGCAAACGAGGTTGTCATGAGGCCGAGCTGCTGGGAGGCTGGCCTTGGGAGCCGGTGGTGGAACTCCATTTGAGGTGCCTCTTGTGAAATAAGGCAAAGCATGAGCTATTTAATTGATTAGAGGTCACTCTAACACTGGAACTTGCAGCATTTGTTTGTGTTGCCCAAGAACTGGTCTCCATAGTGCTGGTAATATCAGGATTTGAGGATAACTTTTTCTTTCATGGTACACAAACTTGAAGGCTGTTGTTGCATTCATTTTAATATTTCATATGCTTGAGTTGATGAGTCAGTAACTTCCACGACCCAATCTTAGTTTTCAGTTCCATTTCATCTAGCATTTCTTAAATGATTCCAGTGGTCTGTTCTTTAATAGAAACACCTGGAGTAGTTTCCATACTGGGGGCATTCATTCTGTAATCTGTATTTCAGTACAAAGCATTTATTTAATTAGCTTGTTCAGGGATACAGGAATTGTGCCTTCTGTCAGTACATTCTGAAACCCCTGCATATAGCACAGTATGCTCTATTCCAAAATGTGTCCCTGATGCTGAGATCTGGGGGCTCTAGGCGCTGAGTTCCTGCAGTTTTTTAAAGAACTGTTTGTTGCATAAATGCTTGCAGTTGTTTATACAATTACAGGAAAGTGATTGTAGGAAGGCTTCTCAAACTCTGATATGACCCATTTGGATCTTCCACGTTTGGGTAGGCACAGCCAGCTGCATTTCTTACTCAACCTTTCTGTCTTGCGGTGCTCATGATGTGTAAGGCACACAGAAGGCATTGCTGTAGTCGGTCACTTGGTATTTTTTACTCCATTTCTCCTCCTAGTATTAGTTCTGAAGATGCTATTTTGATCTGTTTGTAAATTACTTTGTATTTTATGCATGTACTGTAACTTGATTTATTATTTTTTTAGATTGATTTAAATATATTCATCCATAATTCTAATAAAGAATTACAGGGGACGACTCAGTATGGTGTTGGCTGCACTTTTTGGGAGAAATGGGATATGACTTGAAGGTTTCTACTTACTGGGAGCTAGTAAATTTCTTGGGACAAGTTATGTGATGGCCTTGAAGAAGTACGCCCAGAAAAGGAACTGGAAGGGTCATGTAGCCCATTTGCATGTTTCACTTGAACTGGGCTTGCAGCTTTTTGGGGCTAACACAGTGCATAGTCATGGCAGTTCAGCAGCTTCCGGAAGCTCTTATGGCCTGAAAAGTATGGGGTATCTCTAGTAACCCCCTAAGTGGCATTTCCACACCTCCTGTTTTCTCTACTTTGCTGCCAATTCGAAGCTCTCATGGGAGAGCCAATTACCTGCTTTCTGCAGCAATTAAGCTTTTTGATTGCACCTTGCTGCTCTCTGAAGGCCTGGTATGTGGAAGCAGGATGGCCAGTGAGCGTTGCGAGCAGCATCCCAGGCAGTTTTGCAACTGCCTGCTGCAGACAGAGCTTGCCTAAAGCATGTTGTGTGCCGCTGGTGGCAGCGCTGGTGGTTCAGTAGGGGCCGACTCTGAGATGTGTTGTGTGTGTGTGAACCAGGAACTCAGAGCCTTTTTAGGGTTGCAGGATAAAGTATAAAATTGAGCCTTGCTCACTTTGGGAGCTGTTCTCATAGCACTTTCTTTTGTAAGACTCAAATGTATCTTGGAATTAACCAAGTTACAGGGGCAGCCACTTCCTAAAGGCGTCCTCTGGAAATGGAGGAACGAGTTCCACTTCCCCTTCTTGCGCTCGTTCACTTGCGTAGGCACCCTGGCTCAGATGTAATGTCAGTCTTGCATTTGGTTATGATTTTATGCGAGATGCTTCCTTCTGCAGTACATGCAGAAGCAGTGAAGCCTGTTGGAGCACAAATCTCTGTCGGCAGCCCAGGCCTCACCTCGGCGCGCGCACGCTTCTCGCTGCGCCTTGCGAGAACCCCGGTGCTGCGGGCGAGTACCAGGCAGTTGCAGGACGTCCGTGTGCACGCTCAGGCAAACTTAGAACTCGAATTATCCCACCAAAACGCTAGCGTTAGTAATCATACAAGCCTTAGACAGAAATACAAGCCTTAGACAGAAATGCCTTGCAAAAACTGATTTTGTACTTATGAACGGCTGCAGCATGGACTTACAATTGTTATGCAATAGTTTGTGAAGCCTTCATAACCTACGGACTTCTAAAGTAAAATCCAGTGGTGTATGTACAAAGCTGTAATTTCCTACCTATTAAAGCCTTTGCCTCGTGTTTTATGTTTCTGTAATGTTTTTTCCTGAATAAGCACTGCTGTGCTATGGCAGCGTGTCCTGGCTGGCCTGAGCTGGGTGACATTCCCAGGAATCAGAGGTACTTCACCAAGTGTTTTTGGAGGGACAATACATGACGTTGTTCCTTCTGAGGCTGAACACTGACCTCGGAGGACGTTGTTTCCATTCAGCTGCTGATTGATCGCTCTCTGCTGGTCCTGTCTGCATCACTTATGTACTGAAGTGTCTCTTCTCTGCTAATGGGAGACAACTGATTATAGCAGGTACTGCTTTTGAGCACTGAAATGAGCTTTCTGAATTTCTTGGAACTGTACATTACACTGCAGAATTGGCTTTACTTGCCAAAAGCTTTTTGCTATCATTTACATA